AAAAACAAAAAAAAAAAAAAAGGTTTTGCTGACCTCATGAAGCATGAACACCACAATGATACAACTACTTACGGTGAGATTGTGATCTTTGTGTCAGTATCTTGTTCGATTTTCTTCAAGTTGCGTCCCTCTTTTCCAATCAGGCGGCCAACGAAGTTATTATGAGCCAGAATCTTCAGAGGGATTTCTTCAGTGCTGTTTATGTGAGAGAAGAGAAGGGTATAGTGTGACTGAACGTGCAACATGGACTGTAAATGACTCCGTAACAGTGTAGTATGACTAACAAAGACAGATCAACAGAAACAGTATGACACAGTGTCTGTGTATCAACGCACATCTTAGTGTCGATTGCCTCTTTCTGCATGATCTCCATGATGTTTCGACAGGCAGAACTGCAGCCCTCTGGTGTGGAGTGAACAGTGATGGGCTTCTCCGCGGCCCCTGCATTCTCCTTACGATGGATATCAATCCTGTGTACATAATATGTAATCAACTTGTTAGAGCAGTCTGATCAACTCTAGGTTTCCTTCCCAGATGCCAATAGACACAAAAAGGCATTTCCATTCTTGATAAACAGGTTTATAGAGCATTTTCAACATGCAACAACAGATTCAGTGCTGATACTTTGCTTGTGTAGAACCTTATGTGCTCAGTGTGAAATGTTGTAACATCTTAATATGGACGGCAAAATAAATATGCTGTGCTTATGTGCACAGAGTGAAACAGGACTATTTACAACTACGTACACTGCGTATTCTTACTTTGAATGAGTCTGCTTGGTTATGTTGCGGATGGTAGCACCTTCTTTGCCAATAATAGCTCCTACAAACTGGGTGGGCACCAACATGCGTAGAGGCACGTCTGACTGTAGTTTAGGTCTTGCGCCCAGATTGGGAGAGCCTTGGCGAGGCGGTCCGCGTGAGTTGAAACCTCTCCTGCCACCCACGGCAGGGGCATCTGCTGCAGCCGTTTCATCTGGGATATAGGAAACCTTTAGTGCGTAGTTCTCCATAAGGAAGCCACTTAATTTATCCAATGCTCTGGAAAAAAAAAAAAAGAACAACAGAAGGATGAGAAACATTAACAAATACTAACATGAACAGATCCTTTCATTGAACTCGTTTTTAATCATGCTTCTGAAAGTTACATTTCAGTGAAAGGTCAAAAGCCATATTAGGTGGACGAACACACAAAGCTACTTTTATACATCCTAAACGTCCTACTTGTTATTCTTGTGTGGGATATTATGCTTGGTTGAAAAATAAAATTAAAATTAAATAAAATTTAGGAGTAATTAAGACACAAATCTTTGGTTTAATCCTTTAAAGAGTTTGCCTCTTGCAGCTTTGGACCAAAATAAATAGCTGAAAACAAACAAAATTGGCCTCATTTATGAATACACTTCTGCATTTCAGTAAAAATTAATAATTCCATTCTTGCATAAGTTTTTCCACAGTTCAATACAACAGTTTATTCTAGAATTTTTATTACGTTATTAATGTTTTTACTGTATTTTGTTCAAATAAATGCAGTCTTGTGAGGATAAGAGACTTCGTTCAAAAAATAAAAAAAGCTTTCTTTCCAATAAATATCTTAACTATTTAACGAACTAATAAATATCTTAACTAACTTTAACTATCCCTTTAAACAGTTTGACTCTTGCTGATTTGAATCAAAATAAAAATGTACTATAAAAAAACAATTGCTGAAAATAATTAAAATGGGCCTAATTTATGAATACATTTTTTGCATTTCAGTAAATACTCAATTCCATCCTTGCATAATCGGTCAATTCATTGCAACAGTTTATTCAATTGTTTTATGAACGTGTCATGAATGAAACCCAAAATATTGCAAAGATTTAAAAGCATAGGTCCCCAGAAACCAAGCGTGAATTCTAAAAAAAAACTATATTTTTCTTCAATATTGTCCAATTTTGACTGAGACAAAGGCCATGAAAATCATCTCTGCTTTACTGCTTCCTTCTCAAACAGGACACATGTAAAACTTAAGCGAATCTGATGGATGGTGAGGGGGGAGGAGGGGTTTAGAGCATGAGGTTTAGACGTGATGGAATGCCGGAGCCCTTTAAAGCCATCAAATCTTTCACTGACATCCACTTGCGAATGGTAACAGGAACTCTCTATTGTGCACAAACAACTGACTGAGATTCTTTTATCCAAGTCTTTCCATTCATTTAACAGAGGTTTCTTTACCAACCCCTGTGACCGCTCTGCAGTTCTACTAATCAAACAGTAGGTGGCACTGAATGAGTTATTATAATTGCTGAATAAATCCAAATAGCAGTGCATGTGGAACTGACAGTCTCACATTTCACTGCGAGATGTGGGACAGAGACACTCTGGAGGGGGTGGGGTGGTGACTGAGCCGGCCGAATCCGAGGCGGATGATACTCACTCTCTGGCTTGGTCCTTAGCAGCATATCGCACGTTAACAACAGCGGTCTCCGTGTCAGTGTTGACTGAAGATGGAAGAGAAAGGAGGAAGACAGAGGGGGAGAGATTAACTAATCTTTTAATATATGGATTACTAAAGTGACAATCTGCTGAAGAGCACATCCTACCTTGTTCACAGCTCTCCACTGTGCCGTACTGCGCTAACAACCCGTCCAAAACCTGTAGGTGAAGAGACACTTTCAGACTGTGATTAAGACTAATGTTGTTAGAGACTACAAATTGTGGTAAAGGTTTAAATAAAATACATTTAAAAAAAGAAAACAACCAGACACACACATAATGCTGTCAAAAAGGTTGAATAGTTAAGTGTTAAAAGGATAGTTCACCCAAAAATAATTTACTCAACGTAATGTTGTTTCAAATTGACTTTCTTTTGTGGAAGCATTTTTTTCTGTTCATAAAATGAAAATCAGTGGGTTTTTTCAAAATGTTAGCTTTTGTGTTGCACAGAAGAAAGCCATACAGGTTTGGAACGGATGAGAGTAAAAGACAATAATATAAATTTTTTGGTCACTTCAAAGTTGTGATATAAGCAAGTAGCGATATTTCATTGGCCTCGTTAATGAATTGTAAATAATCATAATTCTATTCTTGCATAATTTGTCACAATTCCATGCAACAGTTTATACAAGAGTTGTTTTATGAACATTTCATGATTGAGGCCCAATGGTTTAAAAGCATAGGTCACAAATAGCATAGAAACAAAGCGTGTCTTCCAAAAACTATGTTTTCTTCAGTATTGTCCCATTTTTGGGCAATAGCCAGGTGTTTGAGACGAAGGGCAAATTTACTGTGATGCACATCAGAGTGTAACGGCTTACCGAAAAACTGATTGTCGATTGGATTGAGGAGTTGGCTTTGCACATTTAAAAACTAACGTAGATGAACATGATCTTGCAGGAGCAGGTTTAAAGCAGACTAAGTGACTAGAGAAGTCCTGCATGCGGACCGATTAATTATTCACAATAACGCATTTAGAAAATAAATATGGTGAATTTTAATTTCATGCCAACTTTAAACAGTCTGCTCTTGCGGATTTGGATCTTGACCAAAAATTTAACTCAAAAGCAAACTAAGCGTTTGGAATCTCATACTCTCATACTCAAACAAACAAATAAAGAATTCAAGAAAGCACAGTTTTACACCTTACTCTCTGCAGTTCTTCGCTTCTGCCACTCCTGCTCTGGAGGCGTGCAGGCGAACATTGAACATGGGCAAAAGGAAGCCTACAGGCTTAAACACACACCAGCCCCCTATACGTCACACATACTAATGCCCACAACCCCCCTAACCGCCACCACTTCCCTTCTCCATTCCAAGCCATCCTATTGGTTAGCGTATGCATTACTATGGAATTCCCAGCAGCCATTGGGCACTTCCAGCCATTGGCTACGTAACCAGTCAATCATTCAGTCCAGGCCAATAAGACAAGACTTCCTTCAATCGGGTGAAAGAGGAAGGGGGTGTTGGCTTTCAGAAACCATGCAGTGCGGAGAAGGAGGGGAAGTGGGGTTGATCTACACATTTTGGGCGTCCACACATGGAACAGGCCTGCAGCCAGATGGGGCAGCAGGTTAAAATCCAGCCCGACTAAGCTCACCTGAGCATAGTCACACAGCAAAACGCACATCCCCAAAGCTACGCCATAACAAACACACACACTCCAAGATCTCAACATGTGCCCACAGAAACAAGACGACAATAAGAACACAAATACCTTCTATCTGAACACAACTGGCAGGTCAAACTCAAAGAAAAACAAAGGGAGAGATTAAATAACTAAGTCTCGCTCAAGTAGGTACTTGACATTTTCGCAGCCTGACATCATGTGACTGCAGATTCATTTTGAGTTGAAATAAGAGAAGGAAAATTATTGTGCTATAAATTTAGGCATGTTTATTTGTAAATCCATGGGAAATTAAATGGTTACACATGATCCATGGTTTTTTTGATACATCTAAACACAAATTCAACACGTCTAACTAAAGCCCTCGTGACATTTAGCATAATGTAGTAGTTTAAGTAGTGTTCAACAGATTTAACTGAATGTGCACCTAAAAACAGCACCAAATCAGCATATTAGAACGATTTCTGTGACACTGAAAACTGAAGTAATGGCGGCTGAAAATTCAGTTTGCCAACACAGGAATAAATGACATAACAAAATATATTATAATAGAAAAAAAAGGTATTAAATTGTAGTAATTTGCCAAAATATTACAGGTTTTCATTGTATTTTGTTCAAATAAATTGCAGCCTTGGTGAGCATGTGAGATTTAAAAAAAAAAAATGTACTGGACCCAAACTTCATAAACTGTAATATATGCTAAAATAAAGCTTTCTTCATATCTAGCTTTTGCTTTTACAAATAGACAATAAATAAAAAGTGAGCTTTTATGACCTTGAAAAAATATTTTTCATATACCAAAGTGGAAGGTTAAATTCAGCATAACGGTTTCAGATTTTCAGAAGACTTTAAAAGACTCGCATTTTGTTCTCCAACAAGTGAATTTAAGCAGTTTTTATTACAAATCTTGAAGTGCAACAAACTACTACATAGGGAATTAATAATGGCTGGTTGCTTTGTCAAGAACGGGGGGTGGACTACAACAGTTCTCTTCCCAGTCTGCACCTGATGCAAACACGTTTCGCTGAAAAACCTGTTGTAACAATCTACTACATGCCTTCTGTCATCTGATTGATAGAATTATAATAAAAGGCCTTTTACTTAAAAGTATTCCTGTCATGGTATACATTTTTGCTTTGAAATGACAATAAATAAAAAGTGAGCTTTTATGACCTTGAAAAAATATTTTTAGTGGAATACAGAAAAAATTTTAGTGGAAGGTTAAATTCAGCATAACGGTTTCAGATTTTCAGAAGACTTTAAAAGACTCGCATTTTGTTCTCCAACAAGTGAATTTAAGCAGTTTTTATTACAAATCTTGAAGTGCAACAAACTACTACATAGGGAATTAATAATGGCTGGTTGCTTTGTCAAGAACGGGGGGTGGACTACAACAGTTCTCTTCCCAGTCTGCACCTGATGCAAACACGTTTCGCTGAAAAACCTGTTGTAACAATCTACTACATGCCTTCTGTCATCTGATTGATAGAATTATAATAAAAGGCCTTTTACTTAAAAGTATTCCTGTCATGGTATACATTTTTGCTTTGAAATCTTCTACAGACTTTTATAAAGTAAACGTAATAAGAAAAATAATTCATATTGTTAGTAATATTTCAAGATGAACATTTACGGGACTGAAGCAGTTTAGGTTTACTTGATTATCCACATTAGAAAAAACTAATTATTAAAATCGAATTATAGGCTACATCAGGCTTTTGAGGAACGTTTATTTGTACATCACTCAATCATCACTGTACTGCACTGCATTATATGTTTGCCTATGTTTTACTATCAGAATTTAATCTTACTTTTTGTCCATATAAATATCAGCAACTGCACCAAATTGCATATTTTTGCAGTTTTGGGCCTCTTAATAAAATTCAGGAACCATATTATCATATGTATGAAATATAACACTTAAAAAAAAATCTTTGTGTGTGTAAAGGTTCAATAAACAGCTCCATTAAAAAAAAAAAAAACTATTATAAGTAAAAACACTATTATATGTCAGCCTTTACAGAGAGTTTAAACATAATACATCATATTGACTAGGAACACTTCACTCATGATCGATTCATTGATATGGACTTTAAATTAGGGCTGTGCGATATGGACAAAAAAAAAACCTATCGCGATTTCTTTGATCAATTTTGCGATTTCGATTTTAATCACGATTTTGACACACACCGACATGCTTTACAGTCATAAATGCATTCAGTGTGAATTTGAAATATATTTCCAAAAGAAAACCAATTAGAGCTTTATCAAGAAGCTGTAACATGTCTCTAGAACAGACATAAGGTAAAATAATCACTAAGTAAAGGTTTTGGCTTTTTCATCATTGTGATTCTCTTTTATCACACTACAGTAATACAATCTTTCATAGACATATTCACGTTTAAACTCAATAAATATAACTTTGTTTAACTACCACCACGAGTGCCATCTATTATTGCGTTGTTTATCTAAAAAGTGCAATTTTCCTTGTTTTAAATCTAGCCAAAAAGCCATGTGTTGACTGTGAAACCGTAGACTTTAATATTTATGGAGTAATTACTACATTTCCGTGTCAATCCATGTTAATTTTTACCGCGAATAATGCGCTGTCACTTTAATTCAGCGCGTGCAGCACAGCAGAAATAGATTCCGTGCGGAAACGATCGCAGCATGACTGCTGCAGACGCACCGCTCCTGGAGCGCACTGCAATCGCATGCAGTGTGAACGCTCGGAGTGTGTGAACCTGGCATTACGTTTGTATGCCCACCCGGTCTGTTCTGTTCTCGTGCTCCATTTAGGCGCGCTGCATTCTGATTGGTTCGGATAGCATACTGCCGGAGGTCGGGGCGCGGAAAATCGTGCTGTAAAGCGATTTAGAAATTGCGCATGCTCAAATCGCGATTTTATGACGATTTCGATTAATCGCACAGCCCTACTTTAAATCATCTCAAAGCTTCATATATTGTAGCTTTGATTTACTGTGATGGCAAACAATCCCATTATACTTTTACTCATTTTTTACCTGTAATAAAATATGCAATAAAGACTGCTGCAAACACAGGGCCCAAAATGAACAAATGTGAGGAAAGGGGAAGGACGTTTAAGTGAGTAAATAAAGAGTTTGTAGCTCAACTTTACTTTACTTTACGTGACACATGGAATATTCCTCACATAAAGCCATTTGCAGTTTCACATGGATGTTGTAGACCGACTCATTTCATACATGATGCTGTGAGTCAATGACCGGCTCTGTATGTAGCAACTTGCAAGGGAACAGCAAATAACCTCAATGCCATAGGATCAAAAATATAGTTTTAATTAAAAGTGGAAAAAATATGGTTTTATGGTTAGCAAGAAATAATTATCTGTAATATTTCAAATTTTACCTGCCTTTGGCAGATGTTTAAAAAAATGTTTACTGAATTGTTGGTGCCCACAGTAGCTCTTAAAGGGTTAGTTCACCCAAAAATGAAATTTCTGTCATTAATTACCCTCATGTCGTTCCACACCCTAAGACCTTTGTTCATCTTCAGAACACAAATTAAGATATTTTTGATAAAATCCGATGGCTCAGAGAGGCCTCCATTGACAGCAACGCCACCCAAACTTTCAAGATCCATAAAGGCACTAAAGACGTTGTTAAAACTGTCGACGTGACTACAGTGGTTCTACAATAATTTCATGAAGCGACGAGAATATTTTGTGTGAAAAAACAAAAACAAATTTGTTGTTTATTCAACAACCTCTTCTCTTCTGTGTCATTCTCATACATTGTTTGCGTCCAGCGCTTCCAGGTTCTACGTCAGAACGCCGGCTCATTATTGGACGGCTCCTGCATCAGCATCACACGCATGCGTCGCGCTGCTCACATGTGCAGCTTTGGCCAATAATGAGCCGGCGTTCGGACGTAGAACACGGAAGCCTTCACTGTGCTTACTGTGTTAACCGCGTAAGGATAATGACAGGGAAGGGAAGAGAAGAGATTACTAAATAGTTATTTTTGTTTTGGCACACAAAAAGTATTATCATCGCTTCATGAAATTATTGTAGAACCACTGTAGTCACGTCGACTGTTTTAATGACGTCTTTAGTACATTTATGGATCTTGAAAGTTTGGGTGGCGTTCCTGTCAATGGAGGCATCTCTGAGCCATCGGATTTTATCAAAAACTAAATCTATGATGGACAGCACTGCGAGTGGCCATTTTAATTGTAGTTATTGTCGACGCTAATGTTTCTTTAAATCATTACATTTAATCCAACATCAAGGAGGTAATGACCTACTATTATAATACATTTAAAATGTAACTGGTAGTTGGGAAGCCACCCCCAGGCCTGATTTTACATATAACTAGTCCAGAGGGACTAGAACTAGGGGGTCTCAGCCCCTCCCAGCTCCCCCAGTAATTCAAACACTGGAGGAATCGGTCATGGATGTAAAAGCTGAGGAAACAATGCTAGAACACAATGCAGTTTTTAATCTGAACTGATTCCTATGATCAGAGCACTTTTGTGGACATCTGTAAGGCTCCATTCACACACAGCGCAACAGGAATAAAACGAGAAACAGGGATGAGAAAAGCGAGCACGTCATGCAAGTTTTCAAAGGGTCAGTGAGATCTTGTCTCGAGCTCACATGAAAAGCGGCAGGAGAAAGAGCGGCGTACGGAGCATTACACGCAAACGCTTCTACAGATAGTTTGATCTGATAAATGAAGGACAATAACAATGGGTTAGTAGGTGTAAAGGGGATTTTTTTTTTTAACTGAACATCATATGCTTTTATTAGATTTGATCTAGACTGACATCTGTACTAAACATGAAAAGCCAGATATTGACCATCCATCTTATTATGGAGCACAAATATCAAAAATGTATTTAAGAAGCATTTTTCAAACTGCACATCAGCACGTTAAGTGATTTTTGTAACTCTATAATCACATGATGAGGCTTCTCAAAGCTCAGACCTCACAAAATTGAAGTCACACACCTCTAAAACGAACACGGACAACAGGCTACCTCCCAAAAGACCGCTTGGAACATCTCTGACTTAATAAATATGAAGGATAATTGCGCATTTATTGGAGAGTATGCGCTCATTTGGTCCAAGATGTCAAATTCTAGGATATTACTCAGGAGGGTTGGTGGCTCAAATACCAACTCTTCTGAGGTGTGGTGGTGAGCCAGCAAGTCACAGTACTGCTTCAACATCACACCTCATACAAGCCCCTTCACCTCAGAGAACTGGGGGAAAAAAAAGAGAGAGAGCGGCACTTACTTCCCACTGCATGTGAGGTGGGATATTCCTGATCTGCAGCTTGCAGCTCCTGCAAAAAAAAAAAAAAAAACACAGAGTGGTCAATGTAAAATTACACAAGGCAATAAATCACACAAGTCATTCATTTTTGGATTTAAATGGTCCAGATTCTTACAAGCTACATTCACTTTTGAGGGGGGAAAAATAAAGCATTTGAGTCTGACTGGAAGCACCCAGTAGAGGAAGATTTGAGTAACATCATCTCTATAATACACTCTACTAGCTCAAATAAAATGATAGAAACTTCCATTCTGACAATTACACTATTGATTTATAGAAAAAAAGCCCAATTTCAATCCATTTCTTAGATAGTGTGTGACTTGTCACCAGAAGACCTTCCACTTCCCTCTTTGGTTTCTTTGAAAGTAAATGACTGAAAATTGAAGATAGATGGTGTCTAATCACACAGCCTCTCTAATATTGCAAATGCCAAACAGAAAATGGCTTTGATCTTTGAAACATATTTGGCAATGGCTAAAGCTACTTAATATCCCATATATGCAGTGCAGGTTCAACATATCGACCAACAAAAACCAGTGTTCTGCAATTATTACATGCATTAGTTATTAATTATACATCCAAAAGAAATTACCTGATCATATAGTACATGAATTTGCAGATTAGGGTACCGGTTATGGGTAATATTAGCAAACAATCAGTAATTCATCGGACTCGAGGGAAGCAAACTAGTGATTTTGTGTGCCACTAAGCCACCAAAAAATGTACTGAGTTCATCAACTGGAGCAAACACAACCTGGGATTTGTTGCATTTGGAGACAAGGTACCTAACCAAAACCAGTCCACTAATACCACACATGAGTCTGATTGAAATTAGGGTTTATAAACCAAAATAATTGATACATAGAGATGCTTATGGAACTTAAAAGGAGGTAATAAGGGAACAGTACAGTAAAGGGTGAAAGTCCAACAACTTATTTATAGTGTACACATCAGTATAGTGAACAGTGTTCATTTCCAAGCAAATTACAGTCACAGAAAGAGAAAATTAACCCAATCAACTAGGTAGAAAAGGCTGAGGCCATTTCAAAGTCTTAATTTCATTTCATTCAATACAGTCCACTTCACCTTGGAATCTCAAAGTCTTATCAAGCTTCATTAAAAAAGGCCTCAGCTTTTCATAAAAAAAAGCCTGAAAATTCCCAAAGAAAGTCAAATCTACAAACTCTTACCAATGGGTTTTTTCCCCTCTTATATGGTAACGGTCAAACACCTTGTTGACTCATGAATGTTGATTCAAACATCCAAAAGAAAGCGGTAATACTGGTGATTTAAAGCAGGTACATAGACGTGACCAACCCCAGATGTGTGTTAATTAACCTTCAGTTGTAGATGTTAGACTGATTTTGCATATCTAGCAGACAGATAAAACCCGACTATACAATGTCATTCTGTCTGAAATGTCTGGCATATTGCCATTTTCCTTGATTTCACAAATGCTGACATGTAGATAATTTGATAAACGTAGGGTCAACTTAAAGGGGATTTTATATAACGGAAAGGCTCAGTTCCGAAATAATCATACAACAGGTTTTTTATTTTATTAGAAATTCATAATTCTACACTAAAGTCTACAAAACCAACTGGTAAGAGACAACTAGGGATGGGTTTTTTTTTTTTTTTAAATATTGTTTTCGAATATTTGGGCTTAAAAAAAATATTTGAATATTCGTTTATTTAAAATTACGTTTAACAAGACAGACGTTATTTTTTTAAACATCAATTTTTTTGTCATCATTTCTGAACAAGTTTATGATTAGGCATTATACACAATGTTCTACAGCAATGTTACGTTATATCTCAAAGTTTTCTTTTAGTTCAAATCATTCAAGCTCAAGCAAAGCAAATGAAAAATAAAGCAGACCGTGCCAATTACAATACAGTACATACACTCGAGTCAGTCTGTTTATCATGTTCATTTTGTCTCACATCATGTTAATATCAATATCAACCACATGAAAGTTGGCTCCTCAGTCTGATAATAAGAACGCGTGCTGACACAGACGTTCCAGAGACACAAAGATAACGATGTGCTAAGCAAAGTTTCTTACAGCGCTTTGTGTTTTCTGTTCTTAAACCACTCTCCCTCAGGGAAACTTAAAGGAAGCATATGTCTCAAGATCATTTTGCTATCAGATAAGCTCTCTTCTCGGCTCAATCGGGGAACACCTGTGCTCACCTGCAGTTGTGAACCGCTGTCTTTCCTCAGTCGACTGCTGTTTGGATTTCTTGTGATTTCTCATTGTGGTGGTGATATTATGATAACTCTGTTTCACTGATTCATTTGATCAAAAGTAATTCCAAACTTCGCAAGGCAGACGACGACATTCTGTGATCAAATAAATCAACTTGTTAACATGTTCCACAGCGTCACCCAGTGCATTTAGTTATAACTGAGTTTAGTTGGCTTGCTTAGGATTTATCATGGATTCCCTCCATTTACTGCCAGCAAAGCAACGCGTAGTAAAATTTGAATAGTGATTTTTTGATTACAGATTGAATATTCGACTATTTGTGCACACCCCTCGAGACAACAACCAAATTCATTTATGAATCAACTATAATTTGCCAATGAATGCAAAGACTGTAAGTACACTTTGAGGAAGACAACAGCATCACCTGCAACTGTCAGGAACGCAGACACAGCATGTAATGTTTACATCACTACGAGTACAAGCAACAATCCAACTTGGCTACAATCCCAATGTAAACTGCACAAATGAATCATTCAGCCATAAAAAATATGAATTAATTAAGCCATAGAAATATTGATGTTACTTCTACAGAGAATTTTCTAAAGGCCAAGAACTAAATGCATCAAGGGTTAGAAAAGGGACAATCTATATTTCTGCTTTGGATTCAATTAGAAATGACAACACACAGCATTAGTAGCTTCATTCAGATTTACACAGAGCCTGTAAATATGCCATTCTGCACTGTTAAATTAATTTTAATGGTGATATCACTTTTAGAGACCAGTACTTTAAGTTTAACATGGGTTTCATTAATGTGTATGCTTTGGTGCAGCGATTGTGAAAGATCTATAACTGCCCAGTTGACTTTACGCGACTCCAAAGTTCACGCTCTGTGTATTTGCGCATTTACACACTAACATTAAAAAGAACAGTATGTATAGAGGACATGGGAACAAACATGCCTCTACCTGAACAGGTAGAAACTAACTCTCACACACACATACATATTTACATCTATTACACATGCACATAGATTGAGGCCTAAACAGTGAGCAAAAATAGGGGACTTGTAGCACACTGGCATGAAAGAAACTCATCTACCATAATAGAAACAATCAACATAGACGCACATGCGTGCTTCAAGCAATCAGCATGCATTAACAGTTCTGAGTGCTTTATAACATCAATGGTTGATCTGTATTATTTATTTAGTGTATTGTGCTCCGTTACAAGCTATTGAAAAATCAGCTTTTACCTCCCTAAAAGACAGTTAACCACAAAAAAAAAAAAACAAAAAAAAAAGTAGTGTGCAAGCTGTTTTAATTATGACAGTGAGAAAACAGATGGATGATCTTGATTTAACATAACTGTCAAAGATATTGCTGGGATTTAAGCAATATTTAAGCCGAATTTACACATTTTAATTTGGGCATAAATAGCAAAAAATCTGTCTATTTTCTCTTGATTTCCTCTGAGTTTATGTAGATTGTACAGCAACTAATTTCTGAAGTAACTAACAGTAAAACAAAACAGTCATGCTATGTTGCTTCTGCAAAATGGAACATGCATGTGTAAGCTAATAATATCTGAAGATAAAAAAAAAAAAAAGGTTCCATGTACACTGCCACATTAATACTGCAACAAATTGGCCCAATTTAAATAAAATGCAGTTTTGCCTAGAAATTAAAAACAAGTTCATTCAAATACTCACTGACATTAATTCACAAAATTAAAAGCATGTTTAAAAAAAACTACAGTCTATCCTAGCTATGTAACGCTATATCGAGCAAGGCCTGGAGACGAAACTGAAGTTGTACATGCTGTAAGGGACATTTGCACTCATGAAGAGTGTAGATGTCAAGAGGAGAACAATCACTTGGAGGCATCTTAGGAATTATCAAAATGCATCACAACTTGCATTCAACATCTCTGTGTGATTCCTTATGTTTTCCCCAGCGTTTTTGCGGTGTCAAAAATCCAAGGCACCGCAATCCAAATTTGATTCTGTAAACTAGAACCAGTCTTTTTTCAAAATTACCAGAGGTAGTACTTATGCTATTTTTTAACAGGGAACAACTCCTGTAGAGAAAACATGGGAAAACAATTTATTTAATAATAAACAAATAATTTTGAGCTTCAAATTATGGGTTGTGAGCGAAACTACAGAATATGAGAAGCTGTCCATGCTTCATTAAAAATCCACTGTGGCAAAAAGCTCTGACAGAATTACATAACCTAAAACCGGCAATACACACATTCACCATTTAAACTTAAACTTAGCTTACACACACGCGCGCGCGTATCAAATCTACTAAAAAGGCACAGAGTTAATAAAGACAACATTAGCACTCAGTTGAATGATCAGGGAGAAGTGTGAGACCAGTGAAAAGGAGAAAAATAAATAAAATAAAAACAAGGCCAAGCATATAGGCCTAGGTGCATGCACCTGGGCAAGTGACTTAAAAAAAAAAATATATATATATTTTAAAACACGCACACTAACAACTACTTAAACATTAAATAACCCTAATGCCATTTGGTAAATCTTAAAAAAAAAAAAAATGTATCAACTAAGTAAAAGTACAGTCGTATGACATTCCAGTTTCACGTACGAATTTAAAACTTCCCTTTTCTTTTGAGGAATTTGGTGGGATTGGTGTGCTTTTCCAGTCCTGGTCTGCATTCCGGTGGGAATGCAATATGGAATGTTCTCCTACAGCAGATAGCTATAGGAGCAAGACCGGAGTGTGTGTTTGTGTGTGTGTGGTTAGGACGGGGGTGGGGTGTTAGTGCCCCATTTCAGGGTAACAGAAACTCTCTCTGCCCCAGGGGGTGGGGTCTGGCTACCATGGTAACAGGTTAGCCTACAGACAAGAAAGGGAAAAAGGGTGGGGGTTCGGTTGTGACGTAACGGAAGTAGATGGCATCTTCATTTACTTCAAAATCCAACGGACATGCAACATAACTGTCTCTGTGTGCACGCGTGTATGAACATACATAGTACAATGGGGCGGTTGGGGAAGACTTCCCACCACAAACACTCCTGCAGGAACCAGGAAACACGGCCGAACGTTATAATTCACAAGCCAGTGACTCCATCACGAGAACTCGCAACTCGGTCTAAATCAAGACACTTCAATATTTAGTTTTAGAGTAAAAAGACAAAATGTAGATAATTTCAGCCATAGTTGATATTAATGCACAAGGTTTAAAAAAAATCAAGTTACAAATTACATCTACAAATAGAAAGAAAAGAAAATTTGAAAAATACCACCAAATGCATTATCATAAGTAATAATAACAAAACAGCTATACATTCTTTAACTTGAAAATCAAAAAGCCCTCTAAAAAATTAATTAGGGCAGGACTTAAGCATACAACAACAATAACAAATTAAGAAATATAATTGACATTGTTTTAGGCTGAATGTAATTTTCCACACTAAATTAAATTTTTTTTTTCAATTTTTAGCAATTTAAACAAATAATAAAAAAAAAAGCAAAATACCTAGCTATATTATTTACTTGCAGATTGCAATCAGAGAAATTGTTGAGTGACAAAAATCATATTTTAAAAAAATTGCTTAAATATTTATAACAGAAGTTAACAGCACTACATTATTAAATAAAGTTTTAAACAATAAAGACTGACTATCCGTCCAGCGTCCACACAAAGGTTCAAACTTTTTCCACACACAGAGTGTCTGTTCTAGCTGAAGACCCTTTTCCCACACTCTCTTCTAGCAGTTGGGGCCCCCCTTTAAGCCACACGTGCGCATGCACACACACATACAGTGCAAGCTCGGAGTAAAAACGGCTACGCTAGTAATCGAGGAAGCTAGCAATAAGAAAGAAAAATGGTGTATGAAACTAAACTTCTAAAGGCCAATGGGCTGTCCATGCAGACTCCTCTCAGTGTACACTCAAGCCTGATTGAAGGACGGTGTCACAATCATCATGTTTTTAATGTATAAAACATCTCAACTACGCTACCAAATTACAACTCTTCATTAAAAGTAAACATATATTAAGGCAGGTTAACAAATGATAAAGTGAATATTTATATATAATATTATTGGGTCCAGTGTCCATACAGCCAAGCACACACCCTGACCAAACTAAAGCGTCCAGAAAACGGCTCCATAACATGCACACCACCCCTTGCTACATTCACACACACATGGGGCCAAACTTTACCCAACTTGTATGTTTTTAGTGTGTGTGAAGGTGGGCAGGGCTTAAGCCAGACTCATATGATAGAATGCACGATCACTCCCATCATGCATTTCACTATACTTAGCTCTCATTGGCTCACAGTTCAAACCAACTTTACATACACAATCTCTGACCTGCTCCTATCAACATTTATCGCACATGTGCAACACACACACACAAAATAAACATTATACACTTAACAGTTAAATTATACTGTTTCTATAATTTACACACTCAACTCAGCATATTACGCTATTGTTTTTGATACATTGTTAGTGTATAAAAAATTTAAACGACAAATAAACGGATCACGTGTCATCTTAAACCTCAAAATCAAGAATTGCCTTAAAATTTAACTAAGCTCAACATGCGTTAAACTATTACAAAATAAAAAAGCAGGCCTACTGTAATCCAAATAAACAAAATCACAAACACTACATAACATTTAAATTGAACATGCTAAATGCTTAAACTTGTCATCAAAACAACCATTAACTTATACCGCGTACAATCTACGTGAAAACTGCTTTATTTTTGACTGAGAAATCACTATTAAAAAAAAATATATATATATATATAACCCGCTAGTTATTCATAAATAAAAAATTCAGAACACCAAGGAATTAACAAACAGCTTGTATGTACATAAGGCGGTCATAAATTGAAAATAAGGCGAATATTCATTATATCTTTAGTCGTTACGTCATCTTAATTATTACAATAAAACTGCAACCCACTCGTATACAGTTAGTAAACTGCTTTGTGGTTTACACCACGACTAGTCGTTATAGTTCCTGTGAACCCACGAACCAATTTTCGTGACAAGACCTCGACCCTAGCAGTCCACGCGCGCTGAGGAGTCCATCTCGTGCCTGACCAGCGCGAGGAGGGGAAAGAGGGGGCGGAAGCACTGAGCGGCATGACTGAATAGTAGTTTCTTCTTAAATGGACGCCACAGCAAGCATGGCTCCATAAATGCACATCCATGTGCAACGTGAGGTCCCGTTTACAACGTTTGCTCTCTCACTTTGCACACCTCTGCTGCGTTTCTTGCTACGTTTTTTTCCAAGGCCTAAAGGCCCAAGTAATGTGAACTCAGCATATCAAGGGCCTCAGTTGTATTACAGAAACCCACATTCCGCACGCTGACATGGTGGTTCAATCAGTAGCTTACACACCTTTTTTTGGTTACTAAACACGCCTGTAGATTTACATTTAAAGCAGGTACATAAAACATACCGTCACCACCCTAATCTTGAATTTCGCTTGCAAATAACAATTTGATGGATCATATGAACGTAAAACAAATCAAATGAGTCATTTGAAAGGTTAAAAACAACAAGAAGCCCGATTTAAAATCAGGGCTTGTGAGGAAGAAATATTTGGAGATATTAGTTCAAAACAAAAACGTGGATTTTTTTTAGATGAAATTATGAAATTTACTGATGAATCTTACCTTTGTCGTTTAGGGACAGAGTGCTCCACTTCTAAGACTTTTCCGTGGAGTTCTACTTTGCCTGAAAAATATTAATAGTATTTTAACATTTTTTTGCGAACAAAATGTCTATTGTGTGTCAAAGGTTCACAATGTACGAAAGTGCAAAACAAATAAAAAATGCTAGTTACGTTACGTACAGAAACTACACTGACATATACGATTTCAAGAAAATTTTCAAGACATCCTAAAGCAAAATCAGTTTAAAAAAATAAATAAATAAAAATCATACATACAAAATTCCCAGAGGTTAAACATGGAAGGCAAATTTGCCCCCACGCTTGCGAGAAGGCCTCACAGCTACGAGCAGCGAGACGTTGACTTGTTAAAAAAAAAGCACTTAAATGTCCACTGACTTATACGGTCTTTAGGGCAAATATTGCAGCCTTTACATAATTTACACTTATTCCAAACATAATCAACCCATAATGTAGAGACAAGGGAGTAGTCGAAAGGCCTACAAGCCACCAATGCAACCAAACCACCTGGTGTTCTAGAGCTCGTAATTACAGAGATAAAAGTGATACATTTTTACAATGGCAAAGTTCGCAAAACCACCCGTTCTGTGTAACACTTTAATTCACTTCCAGAAAGTGCTCCACGAGCTACGAGATGCGTTTAAAAGCCTCACGAAACACCCAGACCATTTTAATTCAAATAAATAGCATGTGCAACCACTCGCCGCTTGGATACTGGAGTTGTTAAACACATTTTCACATTTCGCCCTGCATAGACACAAGGAACGCTGCAACTTTGATGGACAGTTGCCGTTCAGTTATTTTGATACTAAAGCGAGACTTAGTGTTCTCGGCGAGTAAAGCCCGTGGATTAAAAAACTGAAAGTGAATAGTCTACACTTGCTCAGTGTATGAACACATCCCTGCCTTGCATAGGCGTTTAATTGTTAAACGCGACAGTTGCGTGTGCATTGTAATTCATCTGGAGGGTGGACAAAATCACATACGCACAAAAGTCTCACCTGAAAGAGTGTCAATGGCCCTCATAGCTACCTTTTCGTCGGGGCAATCCACAAACGCGTAGCCACTTTTTACGAGAAAGGGTGCACTGAAAGCTATCTTCCACTGCTCAAAGATACTTTCCAAGTCCAGCGAGCTCGCCTGCTCGCTCACGTTCCCGATGTAGAGCTTATTCATTTTGTTGTATACGAAAAAGGGCGACCGTGTTGCAGAGGGGCAGCCCTTTATCGCGTCGTTCGGATGGGCAGTGTTTGGAGAGAGAGAGAGAGAGAACCGCACTGTCGCTCAGCGGAGGGTCTGGGAGTGTTCTCCCAATCACTCCAAGCTACTGAGATATTTGATGGACGAGATCGCCGCCGTGGTTGTGCGCACTCGCGTTTGCTCTTGATTTAAACGTGCTGAATTATTTATTCCGTCACCTCTGCGAGGCAAGGGCCGGGAAGAAAATAGAGAAAGTTTCTTTATTCTTTGGCGATGCTACTAAATTGTCACACTCATTTGTGTAGGCACCGCCTCTTAATAAAATCGAGAGAACGGGAAACAACAACAACAAAAAAACTAAGTTCTTCTGCCTTTTTCAATGAGCCACGTGTTCAAACTACAAATCAGTCCTGCACGTGAGGTGTCCCGGTTGCTCAATTAAGTGTCGGATTGGGGGAAAATGGCACAGATGACTGGGGTGGGGACAGATAGAGAGAGAGAGAGAGAGACAGAGAGAGCAATAGTGAGAGCGTGAGAGAGAGAGAGAGAGAGATGGAATAAAACCTCTATACGTGCATTTGCAGGGATTCCGTGCAAAAAGCTAGCTGTACTCTTTGTACCGTTCAATGATATGCCGTTCTGTGGACTTTTCTCTACTAATGCCGTTCTGCCCTCTTATTGGTTCTTGGAGGAGTACGCACGCTCGCTCACAGCGCTTGAAACCTGCGATGAGGCTTTATCTGCGCTTACGATGGATGGGCTGCCATTTAGGGGATGAGGGGGAGGGTCTGCCATTCATACAGCATCTGCATCATTTTTACTCTATATTCTATACATTACATGACATACGTGCCATAGAGGTATGGTAAACCTCTAAACAATTGAAGCCATATGCAATCAAGCGACATGCCTCTTTCTTCTCTTCCATTCCATGAAGAAAAATCCTACATGCGCAACTATGTACAATTATTTACACAGCTACATGTGTAATGCATTTTGTGTTACTCTAACGCAAAATAACTATACATGCCTACAGTATTTGACAGCTGTGGCCTAGTGTAACGTGGCCTAACCAGATTGAACAAAGCGAATTATACACTTCCGGTGCCTAAAGAAAGGGGAGGGCCATGCGGAAAAGAGAAAAGTCGTAATGACGAGTGGTTAAGGCGGGCCTCCTTCAGGCACAGCGGGAGGAGATCATAGGCCTGTGTGTTGTTCATGCAATATACTTTAGACTTCCCCGAAAATTCGCCACATTTCTTTAACTGTTCCACAGAAAAAGACTGGAGTTGCATAATATCTGGACGTGAGGCCTGCAAATCGCTCGACCTTCCACGTAAAGCGGAGACATTTACACTGGGCCCACGCCCTTATGTGCCTCTTTCTCGCTCTCCCTCCTTTTCCGTCACACACACACACATACACACGTAGGTCGTGCTGGATTTCTTTTAAAATATTTTTCTGTTCACGTAAACAGATAAAGTCGGTTTTTATAAATATTCGAGTTGTATCATATGTACATCACAAGTTTAGAGAATGACACGTGCGACAGATTTCTGATAATTAGGACGAATTCAGATTTTACGCCCTTGGAGGAATCTGGGATATGCGACACTGCTTGAGGGTTGTTTCAAACAAAAATGACAAATAAATGTCCTTCCACAAGGCCGATATTAAAGGGTATATCAGATGGTCACCTCAGGATTTTTTTTTTTTTATGTTTACGTGTTTGAGAGAATATAGGTAATTTATTTGATATGTTACCTGGCGTTTAAATTAAATGAGAAATATTCCTAAAATATATTCGTCTTTCGTTTACCAAGCGCCACAAGAAGCCTATACACGTTTAAATTTAATTTAAATTAAAGACAGTCTCGCTATGTTTGATACATTTTTTTAATTTTCTATAACAATATTAACAACCAGAAGCATGCATATTGTTCAAGATAAAATTATGATTAAAAATAAACTGATTGTCCTGCAACTTTAGAGTAGGCCTACCCACGTTATATAGTGATGGGATTTAATTCATTTCGTTTTTGTTTGACACTACTAATTAAACTTCTCCTCGTATTATACACGTTCATCTTTATTTAGTTTTCAGCCCTGGCCATCTTTCCAAAACAATACTTTTTTATGGCATAAACAATGGCGGTTTATTTTTTTTCTCTCTCGACAATTTACTTTTATCCCAATATTCTGTCTTACCAGTATTTATTTAGCTTTTTTAACACATACAGACACACACTGAATTAGAGTAAGCCATACATCATGTTTTGTTCTATATCAGCAGTAAAACTGCCACATTGCTCATTTAAAATCTTTTGTATGAAGAGCCATTACATCCTAATTAAGTTGTTTTATAACTGAATAGAACTAGCTTCTTTTAATGCCATAGATATGAACTTTAAATGGCATCTAAAAGTGTAAAAAGTAAGAACATCTGAATTCTCAATGTGTTATTGTGTGTAAAGTCAGACAGCATGGGCCTGGATGCCAGTAGTATAGCTCGCACAACTGAAATACTACTGTAGAATGGCACGCACATGATGCGCTCCTATTGGTCGAACAGGAGACCAATGAGAGCGCAGCTCCTTTCTGCTTTACTACTCTCGCTGGCTGCTGCATCGTCTGTTCATTCATTGGTTTTCATCCACTGCTCTTCTGTACAAATCCAGGCGCGAAAAGTCTACTATGGGGTAGAATTACTTCATCCAGTTTCAAAATTAGAAACCGGAACACATATGCACCATACATTTTATTTTCTTTTTAGTTTAAAAGGTAAAAGACATGCAAAGAAAGGAAATGTGGAAGAGGTCTTCGTTTACATAAGGTATTTCGCATTGAAGGCAGTTCTCGCATGAATGTGTATATTGAACATTTTCTGATTCTGAAAACTTAGTTGTTTATTTACAGATGTGGCGGAAGGTCTTATTTTATGCCTTTAGATACCCAGTCCTTTTGTCTAGGACACATGTGGGGATTCCCCTCCCCTCATTCGTTGGTCAGATCGGAAGCTCATTTTCATACCATTGCCCCCCTTTTGCACCGTCCATTTCCTATAGTCAACTTTTATATAGACTGTTAATGAATACGTATTTTATAGAATCACTAAACCTATACGTACATCATGTTTGTAAGGTTGCTTTAAAATGCATGTTATTGGAAAGGAATGTGACCCGTTGCTCCACCCGTCAGGGGGACGTTTTCTATAGGAAAACATTATGTAGGCTAGTATTCGGATTGAGGGTGGTATATGTCGCTTTGACGAAAATATCTGCGGGTTTTCCTTAAAAGCACCAGGATAATTTGCCATTTAAGTAGAATTAGGGACCCAAACGATAACATAAATACGTTTTAAACGTAGCCTATATATTATATACAAACAAAAGGCGAACGAAAGCAAAAACTGCTGCCTTCGCTATCGTCGAAGAACGCTGGAATTAAGCACTAAGTTATGTAAGTTGAAAATTATTTTTTGTACCGTTTCAGATTTCAATTACATTTTTGTGTGTAGTGTTTTCAGCCTATGCTCCCTGTTGAGCGAATGTATGGAACATTCTGTGCCGTTTTCGCCATGTTTATGCGAATAAATTGCTTTGAGAAACTTTCATAGAAGTTTTGTGCATAGCAAGCAGCTTTGTTTCGTGTGAACGTTGTTTTTTAACCAGTAACGTTAATTTATTGGAAACCGACTTCTTTTTCTTTCATATTGATTTTGTTTTAAGAATATAAATATTTTTTTGACAGTTTTGACTAATATCATCCTAAGGAATGTTTTGAGTGTTTAGTCATTAGTTGTTTAGACTGAAGGTTACGTACGTTCATCTAGTTATTCATTCACTTTATACTGTTTCGCTATTTTGAAGAATGTTAAAAGAATGTTTTTTTTTTACTTTGAAAGGCCAAATGTAAAATGTAAAGTTATGTAATTGAAAATTTGTATTATTATTATTGTGCTTTACACCATGTAAAGTTGGAAGCTTTACATATTTCCTTTGATTTTATTTTGAGATATTGGTATTTTGCTAAGGTATGTGAAATGATGATCCAAAAAAGCAAATAAATAAAACAAAAAGCTAAATAAACCTTGCCTACATAAGTTATTTGTCCTATCCTTGTATAGTCTCTGAGAATTTGGTTGTTAAAAAAACATAAGTTTATTTTCATTTATCTTTTATGAGCTGATAACAAAATTAAAATTTACTAATATTTGTCTCAAATCATTTTAAGAGAACAGTTAGCATAACCTATGTGACGAGGTGGGCCTGACCTTGGACTGTGGGGCCTCAAAAATCAAAGCACTGCAAACTTTCCTCGTAAGCTAATGAACAGAGGATTGGAAATAATAAGAGGTTTTATGTAAATGTTTAATACATGCTTGGCTAGAGGCCTGTTTGAGTGCAGTGTTTACCATCTGAAGATCTTAACAGACCTGTAAAAGATGTCTAATCCTTTACTCATTGTCTCAAGCAGAACAAAGCTAGATAGACCTTAGCTGTCACACACTTAAATAAATATAAAGTGTTTCATAGCCTACAAAGGCATTAAGGGTTAAGAATGCCCTCCATTCCTGGAAATTATTTTTATAAAGCACAATAATTAGAATAAATTGTACTTTATGCAATCTGTAATATTTGAGTGGTTAATTTAAATCCAGCATTCATAGCATTCTACTTCATTCAGAAATGGATACGGTATTTTTTTTTTCTGTCTTAATGGGTGTAGTTGCCATTGAAGACATGGGAGGTCATATAGTGTGCTCTAATTTCCTGACGTTCATTTGAATTGAGCAGTATGGACTTTTTTTTATTTTTTATGTAGGAATGTATTCACTTAATTTTTTTTCCATGTGTGCCCTGATAGGATATGTTTATAGGTGGCCAGGTTGATGATGTGCATTGAAGAAAATCCAAATTCAAGGAGATTCTACAGAGACTGTTATTTAATGTGCCCAACCATCATTTGAATTATTTGATTATTTGAAATTTTGAACTATTTTAATTGCTGGAATGGTCTGGAAATGTATGAACAAAAATGAGTAAAACAAGAGAAATATTGTAAGATATTGTACACAAGTAGTGGGACTTATATTTAATATAAGTTAGGAAATATTTAGCTTATTCTGTGTGCAAGTTGACTTATGTGAGAGGATGGCATTATTTTTTGTGATATCCATTTTCACTACATTTGGGTTTGTTAAAGTTTCTCAAGCAAATATGTAGATTGCATATTTAATGATTTTAAAGTCATTGATTTTCAAGAATTTTAAAAAGCAAACAATTGCAGAGAAATACACAATTTGAAGATGCCATTTAAGTATTAATTCAATACATCACAGCACAATGAAAGAATAAAGTCTCCTATGCTCATATTAAAAATGTCTAATAAGAAACAACTGTGATATGATAAAGGAACTTTTTTTTTGTCATTATGACAGTACACTGACAGCTGATGCATTCTGTTGATTGTGCATAAAAGATGACCTCATATATAACTTTGTACAAGAAGTAACACAATTATTAGAGTTCA